TTCAAAACTCCACCTTCTGTTTGCTGATTGGCCCAGGTAAAATAAACTACAAGCAGACACTGCGCAGAAAATTGACGTTCTGTTCTCTGATTGGYYCGGCTAAAAATCTGCCAGCGAAATCCATCTCAGTGGGAGAAGTCCCAGACGGAGCAGTGAAGGGAAACTAGAACTGAGCAGAGCTGCATAGGAAGGCAAGGGCCAGGCCAGAGAAGAACCGTCCCAGATCCTAAATTTAACTTCTATTAGTCCTATACAGCCTATCCCCAACCWCAGTACCTAAAATTAACCATTAATCCTGATCCCTCATGTTAACCTCAAAAACCCCCGACCCTAAGACCCCTAAGTGACGCAACCTGGAAAAGCCGCGGGCGGCAAGGACGGATGCGYGAGGGGTACCTGACGCGTCAAAACTGGACGCAGACGGTCCCTGCCCAAGCGTCAATATGTTGACGAGTCAGACGTGAGAATGTGTTAACTATTTACACTTAACATATAACTGCAACATTGTTTTTAAAAAAAGACTCTACAGGACTTGAAATTCCAAGTTTCAGACTTGGGACTTACTTGACAGTTGCCTTCTTGACTTGAGACTTGACTCTGACTTGACTGTCTTTGCTTGAGACTTGAGGATAATGACTTGAGACTTACTTGAGACATGCAAAACCATGACTTGGTCTCATCTCTGGCATTGAGCTTTGTGCTGTATACCTTGATGACACACGAGTAGCACAGAGTCACATTCAACTCACTGSTTAAGTTGAATTTTGAGATTTATTTTTTAAGGGTGACATGCAGTTAAGTTGTACGGAACTCTCTTGATGCTGATTTTAGGGYCCTGGGTGAGAAAAAAAGATTTAAAAATGTACATTATTCACAGTCGTCATCTCTCTTTTCTAGAAAAGGACAAACATGTRTTTTATTTACACTTTGTTTTATTAACTTCTGCAATGATAAAGGAGTAGGCCCTACATGAAACTACTTTCTAAATCATTATGAAAAAAGAAAACAACAAATACTGGTTGTGTTTGTTTTAAAGGGGTCATATTATACAAAACCCAACTTTTTTAGCCCTTCAATACATTTTCTTGTGTACTTGGTGTGGTATCTTTATATTCTCTACGCGACATAATTTTGGTCCGTTATTTTTTTTTTTTGAACCATGACATCACAATATTGGCTGCATTGCTGCTAAACAAGGTCATGGCCTTCTGGCTAATAAATTTCACAAATCTGTGGTTCTGCAGGTTTATCGTTTTCGTTCACCCCTCCCTCAGTGTCAGACTCTGGCTCCAACATGTGAGGTTAGATGGACAAGCCTTCCRTTGTTGGCAATTCATRAATAAAATGTTTCTGCGCTGTTTGACAATCATATAGCTGCTATCAAGCTACAGGAAAGGCCAAACTGGATGGAGTGGAACGCTCTGCGACCTGGAGTATGAAGTGCCTCATTTCCATTTAAAGAGACAGCTTCAAAAKGAGTTGATCTGAGACACRCCTCAGAACAGRGGTGACTGAGGGGCTTGTGGAGTTACAATGAGGAATTCAGACCAAAGAATTGCAGTTATCTTTTATAAATGATCCAAACTGAATGATTTAAATGTGAAAAGGTGATGATTTAACAGCACAATATGTCCCCTTTAAATTCACAGTTTGTTTTAAACCATTGAAATATGGCAGCAGTAGAGAGTAAGAGGTGAACATACAGAAGGTGGAAAGAGTAATTCACTTCTGTAAGCTAAAAGGGCCATACTGTGTGTGTGCATTGAAATGTCTTTTAACATTAAAAAAACACCAGTAAATGCCTCACCAAACATTCCACTAACACTCACCTGAAAAACTATGTGTGTATTTTGTATTTACACAATTTTAAGTTATTTTGCTACATGCGTCATTTACTGTAGTTTGCATCTAATATAAATAATAAATCTTTTATTTCTTTTTGTAGTATTTTCTAAATAAACTATATACTTTATAGTTTTATAGTTTATTCGATTTTCGGTTAATTCCATCTCATGTTTACTCCTGAGATGTGCTCATTAAACTCAAGTCTTGATGTTCTTCATGCTGTGAAAACAGTTTAATTAATTGAGACACAACGATAAGCACAAGCAGTCTGAATTCTCCTCTGCTGGAATTGAACAAAATAACATACAGTGTGCAAGATGTGTATTTCATACAACATCCTCTGTTTCTTTTGAAGTTTGTCTTTCTGCTCTGAGAACGAAGGATCTGACAAATGTTTTTTCGAAGATATTATCAATGTTGAGCACTTAGTTTATGTGTTTGTTTTTATCTTGTGGCACCAGGTGTTGGATGACTGCATCTTTGCTTTCTTTGCTGTGGAAATGGTCATCAAGATGGTGGCCCTCGGAATTTTTGGCTCCAATTGTTACCTCGGTGATAAATGGAACCAGCTTGACTTTGTCATTGTCATGGCAGGGTGAGTATTTATTTTACCATTTTTTTCCATGCCTGTAGAATTTCTCTTTTTTTTTCCCTGACAGCCACTAAATCATGGGCGTATGGTGGGAAATCTTAAGATAATCCTTAGCCTGGAATGTTTTTCTTTATTTCAAGAAGTCTTACCAAGTGCAATTGTCTTACTTCACTGACAAATTATTTCACTTAATTTGAGACGAATCAGACTATAATCTACTTTTTTAAAATGTATTTTCGATGGTTATTTTTTGTAGTGTATTTTCTACACTTTATAACATAGTTATTAAAAAAGAGAAACACACAATTTATCAAAACATCAGTATTTTAAAATAAAATGCAAACAGGAGAAGTCTGCACACGTCTGTGAGTAAAGCTGTTTTGCATCCAAGCAGATATTTGCACAATTAATGAAGTCTGGGCTATTCTTCCAGAGCCGAACAAACTATTGACRGAAAGACAAAAATAAGTGCTTTTACTGATTTATAGAGAGAATAAACGCAGCAATTTTCWAAAATAAAAGAAAGTTACATTTTTAGTTTTTCCAATAAACCTGCAATTCAAAAGTGTATTTGTTCTGCAACAAAGTTCAGCAGTAATCAGAGCTATCAGTTAGAAGGCTGGTGGAGAGAGCACTCTTCATGTTGATTTTTAGCTTTGAGAGAAACTATACAGGTTATGATTGGTGTCTTTGTTAATATTTTCTTCCAGTTTTCTGTCTTGTCCTCCTGTTTTCTTCCTCCTGTCTGCCTGTGCTCCAGCCCCGCCCACTCACACCTGATCCTCATGTATCTTCCCCAGGTGTTTCTTGTTTTAGCTCATTAGTTTTCTCTTTATATCCTGCTCAGTGTCTTCAGTGTTTGTCAGATCCTTGTTTGCTGTTCTTTGTTCATGTCCCTACCAAGCCAAGTTCTTGTATTTAGTTTGCTGCCTCATCAGCCTCTTGTTTTTTGTTAATAAAACCTTTTTTGCACCTTTTGCCACCCTCACTCAGTCCTGCATCTTGGGGTTCAAACCATTCCTTGAAAATCGTAACAATACAGGTTTAGAAAAGGACTGGAACCAATTAGGAACCAATCAGGAGCAGGTACTTCTGGAGCAACTGCCTCACTCAGGCCTGACCAATATGGTCCCTCTCCCTTATTTTGTACAATCACAAAGTAGAGCATAAACACAATAAAACCATAACCATTCCTTCTAACTGATTTGAAGTTGTCCTGTTTATTATGTTTTGTGCTGCAGTAGATGTAGACTGTTCAGAATCAGAGGTACATCTGGAGCTTTGTAATTAAATGTCAAATACACTGTAATTATGTGGGCTGCCTTATCACATGATTAGTGCTCTTTTCTCTCATGTTGTTGCCTTCGACGTATGTAGGTGTGTATATTGTTTTAGCTTTCCTGGTGTGCAGTGTGCCAGGTAAAATGCTGTCCTTTTCACTGCAACTGTCTCCTCAGGGTGATGGAATATTCTCTGGATGGCCACAATGCCAGTCTGTCAGCCATCCGTACCGTTCGAGTGCTTCGACCGCTGCGGGCCATCAACAGAGTACCAAGTAAGACCTGGAGTTTCATTAATTAATCTGTGGCTCTGCTGACCCTGATCAGTGAGAAGATCATGCATATCTTTCTAAAATCATGCATTTCTTTGCATCTCATCTCAGTGGTTGTGATGGATCCAAATGTGGCATCACAATGAGACTGAATTAAACATGTTTAATCAAAAGATCGACATCTAAATGCTGACTTTTAACCTAAAGGTTTTGAGATCAAATAAAATTTGGGATGGGGTGTGAAGTGCCTCATTTGCACTTAAAGAGACAGCAAGAAAACGAGTTGCTCTCAGATTAACGTCAGAACAGGGATAAAAGGGGGGCTTTTGGAGCAACAATAAYGAGGAATTGAGACCAAAGCATTGCAGTTCCACTTTTYATAGACCCCAACTGAATGATTTAATTKCAAAAAAGRATTTAAAAACATCTTGTCCTTTTTAACATGCTATGTAATCATTTACTTTCCCACATGTGAGTTTTCTGTGGTCRCCACTGTTTAGCTGTGAGTTGATAGATGATGCAGGGGAGGGTATTTAAACAAAATAGCTCACTAGAACTCACTTCTCATTTGCCGTTTTCCTAAAAGCTCTTTGACAGAAGAGCCAATAAAACTAAAGCTAATGAGATTGCATAGACAGTCGTGTCATAACAAACGTACAGCAGTATTAACCAGGTAGCAAGATGTTTTTCCACTTCTGGGTGTAAGGTTTAGCAGAGATCGATCCAAGGCACAGGCATRAATCCGGAGTACAAAAAAGGTTTATTAAACAACGGAAGGCTGATGAGGCAGCTCAAAGACTATACGAAAAAAAAGCTGTTCTCAAGAAACGACAAGGAGCACGGAGGAACACCACACAGGCTGTGTAAACAGCACAATGATCAGACAAACACTGTGGACAGGACACAGAACATAAAGGCAAATTAAAAGAGACAAAGAGAAACACCTGGAGGAGATACAAGAGGAAACAGGTGAGCGTGGGTGGGGCTAAAGGAGTGATGGACAGCAGGGCAGAGATACACGGAAAACACTGGAAAAGTTAAGGTAAAATAAACACAAAGCATGATACCGGGTTGCTGTTAACAGTAACCCTTTCTGGTTTATTGCATGGACTTAGTTTTGTTTACAAGATAATAGAAACTGGTGCATCTACAGCTAAATCTATCTATCTATCTATCTATCTATCTATCTATCTATCTATCTATCTATCTATCTATCTATCTATCTATCTATCTATCTATCTATATATATAT